GGAGCTCCTCAGTTGCTCATAGCAAATCCCACCTTGGAGTTTACAAAGACTTATGGGTAGAAAAGCCACACTAAGTAATTTACTACACTGCAACTACATTTGCACAAAAGCAGTAATGATCAATGTAGAATGTGCTAAATATTTCATGAGAGGGAGGGAGGACAGACAGACAGAGAGGTCTATCTCACAGACTACAAACTAAATAATCCAATAAATTGCCACCAGATATTCCCTGTTTTTTCCACACAGTCAGATTTTCATACTAACTTCCTTCCTTCCCAGAAAAACTAGGTGCCAGCATGAGAAGCAGTTGAGTATAAGTCAGTGTCTTTCTGCTGCCAACAAAATAAAAATTTCTCCATGTTTTAAATTTTGCTTACATCAGATGTATCTGTGATCCAAAAAGAAATCAGTGTGGGTTAAAATCTATGCTTCTCCCATTAAAAGAATTCCAAGTTCATCAGTTACAAAACCCAAGATTTCAAGAAGCAGGATAATTTGTATGACAGAGATTGGGACTGTGACTTAAGAAAGGAATGAATCGTAGAAGTTACTAGAAAGCAACAGTAAAATGGTTTCTAGTCTCACTTTTTTGCCTTTCATTTCACTTTTAAAATGTTCAGAAAAATGCACAGGGAGACAGCAGGGGGCAGGAGTGCATGGAGGGATGGACACAGGGAAGAGGTAACTATGGGGAGGAAGTGGAAGGGGAGCTGTTGCATTGGGGTAAATTGTAGTCAATGTCATGAGACAAAGTATATGTGAACTGCTGTATGGAAAATGAATTTGCTCTGTAAACTTTCACCCAAATCACAATACACAATAATATACATATATATATTCAGAAAAATATATTACATATATATATATTCAGAAAAGAGGAAGCTCCTAAACCCTGAAAAGAGGTAACCCAGCACCTTCCACCTGGCTTGACCAGGTGGGTAGGATGCACTTTGTATCTGATGGTTTTCCCATTGCAAGTTAGAGCATCATTATCGAGTAAGTGCTTTACCAGTGTTCTCCCACACTCTGCTCTCTTTTACAGGCAGTTCAATATGTCAGCTGCAGTCAGCATGTGATTGGAGCTGGAGACCTTCCTGGCAATTTCCAATTGGCCATTGATATTTCAGGCTTAATATTCACTCACCATCCTTGTTTTAGCCGAGAGCATGTTTTGGCAGCCAAGCTGGCTCAACTATATGACCAGTACCTTGCAAGACGTCAGAGAAACAAGGCAAAATTTCTTAACGATAAGGTACACGTGATCTCTTCTGCTTTCATTGTGGGTGGGCTGATCTTCAAGGAGCCCAGAGAAAATCCTTCCCAACAGCTACATGCTCTTTCCCCTCATTCACATGTTCCTTCTGTCTTGAATGTGTGGCACATTGTCCTACCTAGCCACAAAAGGAAGGTCAGAGATGGTGTACATTTAATGTGTGTACCTTCTGTGGCACAATTTGATTCAGAGGGAAAGATCTACATAGACACTGTAAGTGATGTCACCCACCAGCACTGGGCATGAGATGGAAGATGTAAGTTTGTTGGTTGTAGCAACAATCTCAGATCCTGGAGACCGTTCGTGCCTTGATACCCTCCCTGTTCTGAGACATCGATGTTTTCATGTGCATTTTCCTATGATGTGGTCCCTCAACACAAGTCATCACTTCAACTTGTTCTCAGTCAAAGAAATGAGTACCCATATTGGGTTTAATTCAAATGTGACATTATTCCATGGAATTTTCAGGGATAATCTTACTACAGGCAATTTTAGTCCAATTCCGTAACTTTAAAACTTTACTGCCCAGACGAAATGTAGGCCCATACCATCTTCTTTTATGTGCCAAAATTTTACAACGTCTTGGCATCATGAGAATACCATTCTGTATCCAGGACACAGGAAGATGCCCTTTGCCTTGAAAGAAAATCTGTTTCTGAGACATACACATAAAAGTAATGCTTATCCTGAGGGGTGTGACTATCTGGGCCTCAGGACAAAAGTGGACATACACATTCATTATCCCAATTGTGTTTAAGAATGAAAGAAACAGTTCTCTGTCGAGATTCATTTTGGAGAAAGCTTGGAGACGGCTTGGTGAGCAGTCACTTGTTTTGTAGAACAGAGTAGAGTTATAACCCAAAACTTGTGTCTCTGTCCTTCCAAGCTCCAAGCCCTGAGAAACGCTGTTCAGACTGGTCTTCATCCAACCAAACCACACAAGTCTCTTAAAACAGCCCAGAAGGCCATCAATGAGTACAAATCAGAAATTCGGTGAGTAAAGCTTGAGACTGGAACTGCTGAGTTGGGTTTGTTGTTTTTTTGTTTATGTTTCTCAGTAGATGTGTGCTTGGTTAGGGTTTATTTCTCCAGACAGTTTCTGAATGTACTGAACACGTGTGAAATTATGCCAAATAAAACAATGAGACCTATCTATCAAAGTGACACAAAATTTAAAGTCCAGTAATATGTAGGGTGGAGCTCTGGTAGCATAGTGCCTAAGGCACTTGACTGCTAACCAGAAGGTTGGCGGTTCAAACCCACCAGCCACTCCTTGGAAGGAAGGTTGGGCAATCTACTTCTGTAGTGATACTGCCAAGGAAACACAAGGAGGGGTCGCTATGAGTCAGGTCCAACTCGATGGCACATAATAACAACAACAACAACAATATGTAGGGTAAGTGAGGATGTGGGAATTGACAACTCTCATACTTTGCTGGTAGAAGCAAAAATGCTACAATCAACACTTTTGAGAGTTGCTGTTAGGTGCCATCAAGTCAGTTTTGAATCATGGCGACCTGGTTTACAACAGAATGCATCAAATACTGCCCAGTCCTGTGCCATTCTCACAATCCTTACTATACTTAGCCCATCATTGCAGCCACTGTGTCAATCCATCGCATTGAAGGTCTTCCCCCTTTTCAAGCATAGACTAATAACAGATTAAAGATGCCCTTGGCACTGGCATTCTGCCTTCAGATACATGTACTCTAAGAAACTATGTCTTCTGGTTCACGTGGAGGCATGTGCCCAAATGTTCACAGCATCACTTACCAGAGAAACTAAAAATAACCCAATAACAGAATGAACACATCTTGGTAGAGTTTTACAATGGATACCTAAGCCTCAGTTAGAATGAATGACTTATACCTGCACGTATCAACCCAGAAGGCAATGTTGAATGGGAAAACCCAGATGTAAGCAGAAGATATGGTTCATGATCCCTAAAGAACATCTAGAACAATACCCTATTTGTATGGGTACACATACGGATGGCACATATAGACAGAAAAGACACAGGCTAATTTCTTCCTCCAGGGAGGGATGGAAGTGATGGGAATGGATGAGGGCTTCAGATGTAGCTGTAGCATTTTTCCAACAAAAAGGTGACAAAATGTTAACAGATTACAGATTACTTATCTGTACTTTTACGTTTCTTTGAATTATTCATAATTTTAAAATAAAAAACCCACATTAGTATGAAAAAGCAAACAATACATACACATATGACAGAATATGACGGTCACCTGCAGTCTCATTCCTCAGACAAAGTCATGGTTAGCAGGTTTTTGGTGGTTCTTACATACTTTTTCCACAGCAGATTTGTGTCTGTATGTATTTATATATTCAAAGAATCACACTGCTTATGCCATTTGCAATCTACTGGATTTTCCTACTATCGTACATCCTGTTCCATTTCATTGAATAAAGGTGGGAATTATGTGGATTTATCACAGTTTGTATCATCTCCTATCGCCAGGCATTTGTATTATTCTGAATCTTTGTTATTTAAATTGTGCTCTAATCAACATTCTTCTCTATGCATATCCTTATGTACTTGTGTGAGTACTTTACACGGAATAAATTCCTAGAATGGAAATTGATAAACCAAAGAATTTAAGTATATACTTCTCTTTTTACAATCTAGCCATGAGTAGAAAATTCTTCCAGCAAAGCGAATATTTGCACACGGTACTATTTTTGTTGTTGAGGGCAGCAGTGTACTTCCTGGCATTTAAAGTAGTTTCGACCATGAGGACTGGTTTACTGAGATCCTTGTTTTCATAATTTCAAATGTCACTATGGTTTAAGGATGAATTGCTCCAATAAAAATTTTAAAAGGTAATTTGATTTAATTAAAGTAAGAGTTACCTCAAAAGCATGATGCTTCTGAGTTGTGGTGCTGGTGAAGAATGCTGAAAGTACCATGGACTGCTAAAAGAACTAACAGATCTGTCCTGGAGGAAGTGCACCCAAAATGCTCCTTGGAAGCAAGAATGGCCAGACTTCGTCTGACCTATTTTGGTCATGTTGTCAGAAGAGACCATTCCCTGGAGAAGGATGTCATGCTTAGTAGGGTGGAGGGTCAACGAAAGAGGGGGAGGCCTTCAACGAGATGGATTGAAAGGGTAACTGCGATGATGGGCTCAAGTATAGCAGGGATCATGGAGCTGGCGCGGGATCGGGCAGTGTTTCGTTCTGCTGTGCGTGGGGTCGCTATGAGTCAGAAATGACTCAATGGCACCTAAAAACAACAACAACAAGAGTCACGTAGAGAGAACAATATCAAATAAGCCTCTCCAAAGAGATTGACATCCTACTGCCTTTAACTTGGCTCTGGTATTTGGTTTTCTAGTGCTCAATGGGAAATACTGTAGCTATCAAGTTGAATTGCTCATTATTGTACCATTATTAAGGAGCTCTGGTGGCACAGTGCCTAAGACATTTGACTGCTAACCAGAAGGCTGGTGGTTCAAACCCACCACCCACTCCACAGAAGGAAGATTGGGTCATCTACTTCCATCAAGATTTACCAACTCAGAAACCCAGCTCAATGGCAGTGAGTTTGGTCGCATTATTGGTTTATTTGCAATAACCAGTCACCACTGAATCGACTCCAACTCTTGAAGAGTCCATGTGTGTCCAAGTGCATTTGTGCTCCACAGGTTTTCAAAGGCTGAGTTTTCAGAAAAAGATCTCCAAGACTGTCTTCTAAAGAGCCTGTGGGTGGCCTCAAACCTCCAACCTTCCAGTTAGCAGCCAAGCATGTTAGCTGTTTGCAATAGCACACTATTAGTTTCTTCTTGTTTATTTGCAATAAACACACTTCAATAACTTTTTAATCTACACTCATGTATTTTATCTGTAGGCAAACAAGAAAACTACGTGACACAGAACAAGAAAAAGATCGAACATTGCTTAAGACCATTATAAAAGTTTGGAAAGAGATTAAATCACTCCGAGAGTTCCAGAGGTTTACAAATACACCCTTGAAACTTGTTTTGAGAAGGTATGCTTTTATCAAAAGTGTGTGCTTCTGCTGGGCTATATGATACATTTGAGACCTGTATAAAGCACAGATAGAGTTTGATAAGAATTATAAGATGAATAACCATGTAACCACACTCCAGGCTTAGAAAGTTTCCAGTACTTGGGAAGCCCCCCATGTTCTATCCCCAGCTACTTGTCCCTCCATCATCCCTGCCTGTCATCCTTGCTTCCTTGATTGTATGTGTTGTTTTGCCATCTATGTATAGTCCTTAAGAATAAATGGTCAGATATTATTTTTGACTGTTACATAAATGAAAGGATGCTGTGTGTATTCTTTAGTGAACACACACTTGCTTCTTTTGTTCAATATTGTGTTTGTGAGATTCTTCAGCCTTAGGGCACTTTATTGTTTTTAGCTGCCGTCAAGTTCGCTCCGAACTCACGGCAGCCCCGCGCAAAATGGGATTAGACCTTGTGATCCATAGAGTTTTCATTGACTGATAGCTGTAGTTTTTTTGGTTTTGTTATTTTTTCCTTTGTAATGCCTCACAGGAGCCTGGTGGCTCAGTGGTTAAGTGCTCAGCTGCTAACCAAAAGGTCAGTGATTCAAACATACCAGCAGCTCCATGGAAGAAAGAAGTGGCAGAGAAAAAGCTGTGAGACTACAGCTTTGCAAACCCTATGGGGCAGTTTACTCACCATGAATCAACATTTGATTCAATGGTAACAGGTTTGGTTTTTTAATATAGAAATCTAACAAAATTTGTCTATTTGTTGATGGACATGTAAGTGGATTCCATTTTTCAGCTGTTATAGACAGTGTCCCTATAGACATTCTTACAAACATCCCTTGCAGTCCCTGTGTCCGACCTTTCCAGGAAGCGTATACTTGGAAGTGGAGTAGCTGAGCCTTAGATGCTGCACTTGTTCAACTTCATGTTGACTCCAGACTCTACCTGTTGGTTCCAGGGTGGTTCTGCTTTGTACTTTCTCCGGTGTCCCCATAGGTCCACATGACCTTGCACTTGCTGTTGTCAAACATTAAAATTTTGCCACACTGATGACATAGTTCAATTTCCTTTCCAAGGCTGAGCATTTTGTCATACATTCATTGGCCTTTTAGATTTTCCCTTGTGAGATATGTATGTTTGAATCCTTTATTAAGTTTTTTAACTTGGTTGGTTATCTTTTATGGAGTTGTTTGTTGATGTGGGATTTTGTTTGTTCATTTGTTTGTTTTCCTGATTTCTAGGAGTTCTGCATATATCCTAGACATGCATGTATTTTACCATGTGTGTTGCAGATACCTTTTCCTATTCTGTAGCTTTTTTCTTTTTTTTAACTTTCTTTCTTCTGCCTTTTAATGACCAGAACTTCTTACTTTTAAAGAGACAGAATGTTAGTCTTTTCTTTTATGGTTGGTGCTTTCTGTTTGCACCTTCAAAAATCTTTCCCGAGTCACGTAGATATGCTGCTACAGTCGCTCTTAACACCTTAGTGCTTTTATCTGACACACTTAGTAGTTAATCCACTTGGAATTGATTTCTGTGTATGGTATGGATGATGTAGCTGTGGATAACTTTTTTTTTTTTTTTTTTTATTGTGATTTGGCTGAAAGTTGACAAAGCAAACTCACTTGCCATACATCAGCTCACATACACTTTGTCTCATGACACTGACTACAA